CCTAATATTTACACAAATGAGCAATGAATTCTTTTCCATATATGCATGTGCATACATACACACACACACACACACACACACACACACACACACACACACACACATGTGTGTGTGCATATTTGCATTCATATTTATTGCGTATACGCAAATAAAGTGTTTGCTGTCATTCGATGTCTTAATTAAGCGCTGCCTGGCTAGCCAGGGCTAGCGCCAGGGCCAGCGCCAGGGCTGCAGCTGGATTTCCATTTGCCGTTGCAACTGCAGAGATACAGGTGCACAAATGGCTGCAGCTGCAGATACATTTGCTGGCAGAGCTATCAGATACATTTGCTGAGATACAAAAGATGCAGATGGATGTCAACACAGCTGCAGATGCAGATACTTTTGGTGCTAGCTGTACAGATACATGCGCTAATAGGGATACAAATGACAACAGATGCAGATACATTTACCGCTAGCAGCTACAGATACGACTGCAATGGGAAATACATGTACTTACTCAAGTCTGAGCTGACTGTAGATACATTTGCAGCTCTAAGATGAGATGCATTTGTAGATACATTGGCCAAGTGAGTTACAAATGGAAATACAGATGCCTAGGCTGTTCATTATATACATACATAGATACAAATCTGACTGCAATTGTATATATGTACATAAGGTTTCAGCTTGTTTAGATGCAGATACATTTGGCATTAGCTAAATATTGCAATTGTTTAGTAATATTTGAGCGTAAGTATATGGAATCAAGAGATTTAGAGGAGCCTTAGTTAAGCAATTCATGTGAGTGACAGCTGCAGATACATAAACTAAGGAGATTACACCGATAAAGATACATACGGAGCCACAGATGCAGCTACAACTTTTGCCACATGCACACAGATACAAATGTATCTGCATTATCGACACATGCCCAAAGGCAACGACAGGTAAGTTGCAGTTACAGGTGCAGAGCGGAGCTATAGATGCATTGCTATAGATATACATTGAGATACAAATGCAAATCAAGCATTAGTCATTAGTCGAGGAGGCGGCACAGATACAGATACGAGATACATTGCCAGTTTTAGTTACACATCTGCAAATATGGAGTGGGGGAGGGGCCTTTGCTGCGGCTGATATTAACGGATAATTGAGAGCCATCAACGACGATTGGCACTCGAGCCGGAGTGCAGCCAGCCCGGATATGAGAGGTGTAACATTTAATTTAATAACGGCTCTGTTAGTCATCTGCCAATGGGGGCGGGGTGGTGTATGGATTAAGCGCCGGGCAGCTAACCCTTGGGCCGGCGGCTAAGCCAAGCGTTAAGGCCTCGACTAGGCTCACTAATAGAATTTGGCACGAATGCCAGCGAAACTAACCATGGCTAACTGTTGCGACCGCCGCGCGGATTAGCCCGCCACGATATGGGGCGAAAGGAAGCGCGACGCTGGCTAGACTAGATTACCATCATCGATAGAGCTAATTTCGGGTAATTGAAAGCACTGAGCCCGCATTCACCAGGCTAGACCCAGAGCGAGACCCAGACCCAGACCCAGACCCAGACCCAGACTCAGACCCATGCCCATGCCCATGCCCATGCCCATGCCCATGCCCATTACCCATATCCCGAACCAGAAAGCTGTACAAATAGCTGGTTCCACATGACTGCCTGGGCATGAGGTTGTAAATTGTAACGCTTCAATAGGAGTTGCCGGAGTTTGAAGTGCAGCAATAAAAGGCGGCCAAGAAGCGCCCCCCTCCACAGCCCGCACCCTAACCCATGGCTGTTACCCGTTAACCGTTAGCCGTAACCCTTTTAGTTTTATTTATTACGTTCGCTCGCTTTCTTGAGCCCACGCACAGGAAAAAAAAAAGAGAAACTGTCAATAAGTTTGAGTGTTTTGGCCCAAAAAGTCAAATGCTCAGCATAAATTACGTATTATTAATTGCTGCCGCTGCCGCTGCCGCTGCCGCTGCTGCCGTCACCAATGTCAGCAACTGCCGATGCTCGCTGAAGGGTTATGGCGATGTTGACAACACTTGCCCCGACCCCAGCCACAATCCGGCCAGCACGCCGAGGCCCGCCGCGCTGGCAATTTGCAGCATGATTAATGAGATTGTTTACCGAGCGGCCGGGGTGAGTCGCACGGCATATTTCTGCAACTGCTGAACCAGCGAGTGCGGCGAACTGGCGAGTAGACCTAGACCTCTGTGACCTAGTCTAGCTGGGAAGCAACCTCTGGAGCTCTGAAAGTCGCTTAGTGCTGCATAGCCTCAAATGAAGACAACTATTCCATGCTAGCTGACGAGTGAAAAGTAACGAGTGGACTTACAGCTTAGACTGGTAAGGGTTTAGTATATTATTAATACTCAGTTTAGAGCATACGTAGCGAGTTCTACGAGCAAGCTTAAAATAACGAGACAGCTTGGTATTCTTTGTATGCAAATCAGTGCATATGTAACGAGTATAAGCAGCGAGTAAATGAAGTCTTTTGATTATTCGACGAGTTGGTTCTACTCTTACATCAAACGCATTTAATTTCTCTTAGATAATCATCTACTTGCTACATTTTAATACAAAAGTAACGAGTACGTAAGTAGTGCAGGTGGAGTCTAACGAGTACATCACTATTTCTCTTAGTTATTCAATTATCCGCCATACGACGAAAGCAACGAGTAGGTGCACTCATATAAGCAGATAAAGTCCTTTGAGTATACAACGAGTTGGTTCTTTTAGATACTCATCTACTCGCTACATTTGAATACGAAAGTAACGAGTAGCAGTACTCATATCAGTAGATGGAGTCTAACGAGCTACTAATTCCCTAGAACACATACTCGATTCATGCATAAATGAGAATATGTAACGAGTAAAAGCAGCGAGTAGTTGAAGTCTTTTTGAGTATAACGAGCTAATTGAACTCAAACATCTCTAATTCCCTTAGGTATTCAACTACTCGCCACATTCTAATATGAAAGTAGCGAGAGGCTGCACTCCTCTGAGTAGAGGGAGTCTAGCGAGCTAATAGTTCCCATACATCACTGTATATCTAAAACAGTTACTCATTTCAAGCATAAATGAGAATTTGTAACGAGTAAAAGTAGTGAATAGATGAGATATTTTGAGTATACAACAAGTTGGTTTACACTCAAACATCCCTATTTCCCTTAAGTACTCAACTACTAGCCACATATTAAATACGAAAGTAACGAGAAGCTGTGCACCTGTGAGTAGAGGGAGTCTAACGAGCTGCTCATACATCTCTACATACATCTCTAAACACTTGCTCATTACAAACATAAATGTAACGAGTACAAGTAACGAGTAGAGGATGATGAGTCGCATATCTTACATCATCTCTCACAGCACATACTCACATACACTCATTTAGCTACTCGCCACACTCACGGTGACAAGTCAGCGAGTGAAACGGCTCCATTAGGCAACCGCAAATTGAATGTGCGTACGCATAACCTTTCAGCGGAGTCAACAACAAATCGCCCATTATTGTCGCAGCTCTCGTCATCAATTGAAATTTTCTGCATGTCATGCGGCTGTGACAAGTCGCTGCCGCTGTCAGTGTGCATTATCATAAGTTGCGTTTTATTGCCAAAACATTTATGAGACGGGGCGACAGAGCGACAGGGCGACAGCGCCACAAAGTGCGTGCTGAAAGTTGCGACTCCTCGAATGGGAATGGGGCTGCGATTGGCACTGGCACTGCGAATGGGACTGCGACTGGGACTGGTATTGGGGGGTGGGTGGCCCAACAGTAATGATCATAATAATAGTTTTACGGGTTAGAGAAGTCACAGTCACAGCGACAGCGGCAACGACCGACAATTTAACAGCCGGAGCAACAACGGCAACGAAATTGTTTTCATACTTTCGATTTTTAACCCTTTTCACAATGGTGCGTAGCGCATTGCGTGCGACAGTCCCGCTACAAAGGACTACACCAGATAGGACGTAAGCCAGGGGTGGTGAGTGGGGGGGGGGGGGGCAGAGTGTGGGGTGGCGGATTGTTTGTTGGAGTTGAACCTCGTTTGACTCAAGTTTGTTATGCATATTTTATTAGCGCATTCTGTGGATACGCACAGCCAGTTGACTCTTTGCGTGCAACCGCCCACCCTCGGCCGGCTTAAGCCCGAAAGGGTTGCAGCCACAAAAATTTGTTGCTAGTGCAACTGTTGTTGCCGGCATTGTTGACATTTAACTTAAGCGGCCGCACGGCAGCAATTAAAATGCTCAGCTTGTCAACGGCGACGGCGACGACGACGACGAGGATGAGTATGAGAATGAGGATGAGAATCAGTATGAGGACGTGGTTGCCCTTAACACCCAACCAACCAGCCCCCTCCCCCTCTCACACTCTCACACTCTCTCACCTGACTTTGATTTGATTTGTGAACAACAAAGAGACAAAATGTTGACAGGCACTAAAAATGTATCAAGGCTTGAATGTATTTTGATGTGCCAGCCAGATTTAATTTGTATGTGTGCATGTGTGTGTGCATGTGTGTGTGTGTGTTACATAATAGCTGAGCTGCTTGGGTCAATCGGGCGTGCTCGACTAGCGAATGCCCCGTCGTGATAAATTTGATTATTGACAGAGTGAGATTAGAGATATGTTGTCTCTTTCTCTCATTCTTACGCTATCTCTCTCTTTCATGCTATTTTTGATTATTGTGAGAGTGAGGTTAGAAATCATTCTTACTGACTGCGCAGATCTCTCTCTCTCTCTCTCTCTCTCTCTCTCTCTCTCTCTTTATCTCTCTTTATATGTATTTATAGCTATATCTATCTCCATCTCATTCACTTTTGCTCCTTCCTTTGGAAGAACTAGTCATAAGTACTACTCAGAAAAATACTTCAGCTGAACTAGTTAATAGAACTATGCAGAAAATCATTTCTGAATTTGAAGAGCTGTTATATCAACAATTGCAGTTTTTTGGAACTAATTCATAAATGATTCTGAAGTAGTTCATTTGATCTTTAGATTTCCATCGATAGATATTTTGCAAAATATTTTTTTACCAAAAACTTAATATAAATTCGTTCATGAACTGGTTCACAAGCGTTGCCAAAGTAGCTCAGTGTATTTTTATGGGATGTGGCTCAGCGCTGATGAAATGTAATGGAAGCTCAAATGTTTTTGGAACTGGTTCGAACTACAGGAAGCTGCATCAAATTTGCATTTTTGGCTCTTCACAATCAAATATTTTGGAATAATATATTTTCCAAGTGTGCAAACCATTCACTGCTCATGTGAAGATGAAAGAGGTTCGTCAATTTCATGCTGTAAACTGCATTTGACATCTTCTTCAAAGAGTTGAAATTTCCTGAAGAGCCAATGAATGCAATTGAAATGTGTTGAACTTCTCAAGTTCAAACTTTTGATTGGAAGTAAAACAGAGTCGCAGTTTGCTCTTTATGCAACATCTGGATTTTGGCAGTGTCGAGCGAAGAAGAAGAAGACAAAACATTTTATGGCCTTCGAATGCATTGGGCTACGATTTGATGTCCATGCTAATGAGTTGGAATAGCGCGCTGGAGACAGGTGTATGCCAGCCATGCCAGAGACAGTGTTAGTTTCCTGAACAGCTTCTGCTTCCTCTTCTTCTTGCTCTTTTTACGATAGCAACACAAGCAGGAGCAGCAGGAGCAGGAGCAGCAGCAGCAGCGCCATAAAATCCGCAAATGTGAGGCCAAAAGGCAACTGAAAAAGCTGCGACTGTCAGCACCTAGCGGCCTAATCAACCTAAACAGCAACAACATGAGCTTACCCCATGCACTCACACACACACACACATACAGAAGTTTTGTAGCTCTGCTCAGAGCTGTCGTTACGTGCGCGCTTTTGATCATTTTATAAGCGCAATTTCCCTTTTTACGATTATCTTCTCATGCGCAACCGAAAAAGGCAGAACCCCCCCAACAGCACACCACTACACACCAACACACACACACAGACTTATATATATATATATATATACAGGCAATGTTTACCCCCCGCAAAGTGCGACCATCAATATGTGGAAATTTGTTTTCAATTTTTTGGTTACAAATGGTCATAAAAACTCACACACACACACATACACCTGTGTGGCTGCGTGCGTACATGAAAGGGTTAAGGCTGACAGAGGCAGAGGTAGAGGCAGAGGGCGGAGCAGAAGCGGCAGCAGGAGCAGCAGCAGGAGCTGGCCATCAAAATGCAAATGCGCGACCATAAATAACGTAAAACGGACAGGCAAAAAGGGACAGACTGAGAGAGAGTAGGTAAAAGAGAGAGAGAGAGACATAGTGAGAAATAGAGAGAGAGAGAGAGAGTAAGTTAAAGAGAGAGACAGAGAAAAGCGGGCTAATAAAAACCACCCAACGATTTAAAACTGCCAAAAAAAATAAAAAAAAAAAAAAAAAAACAGCAAAAAACAAAACCAAAATGAAACGAAGCTAACAAATGTATTGAAAACGACAGCAGCGGGCGGTTAGGTGCGGCGTAGCACAGTGGGCGTGGCAAGTGGGCATCATGTGGCGTACATGTATATATGTGTGTGTGTGTGTGTGTGTGCAACGCTTGAATGAATGCGATGACGCCAGAGCTGACGGCGTTAAAGGGTTACCCCCACCACACTAACCAAAGACTCCACACAATCACACACACACACACACACACACACACACCTCTCTCACATTTGAAGCTACGTCTATGGCAATGTCGGCGTTCGCGTTTAAACGACGCGACAAATTAAAATTCCCTACATCCGGCAATATATACCACGATCTCTGCCCAGCCCCACCCTACACACACACACACACACACACACACTGAGACCCCCCCTGTCCCTCTCCGCCTAGCCGCGTAGGCGTTGCTTTACAAGTTTAACCAAAAGTCATGCTCGATTAAATTGCATTTGTTGCGGCTGCTGCTGCTGCTGCTCGAATTCGCCCGGAAGCTCAGTTACCAAAAAAAAAAAAAAAACAAAAATGAGAAAAAAAAACTTGCAGACTCGTTTCCAATTCCAAAAGCGAACCCTTCTTGCACCATGCCCCGATCTCATATAGCGTATACCATTGCAATAGCCAATTTCAATGTGCCGCTTGCCCATGCCACGCCCCCGCACAACGCCGCCCTGCATTCAGCTGTAACGAGCTGCGTAGGTGCGGCCGCTGCCCCCCCTCCGCGCTTCGCCTTTGTATCAGGGCGCAAATTTGAAAATCAGTTATCGGCCAATTTTGCTGGCTAGCCGCAAATGAGGTACGACGCGACCCTACCAACACCCTCCCCCATGCCCCATGGCTGCGCGAGTGTTTTGGTGTGGCATTGTGCGCCGGCCACAGCAACAATAGCTGCTAACTGTAACTAATACGGTTCAGCGCTTTAGCTTATGAAATGTTGAGTAGCCGCATCTGCGCCTTGTTTAGGCTCGACTTTTATTGTCACAGTCGCAGTCGCAGTCATAGTCATAGTCGCAGAAAGAGTCACATTCCCATTCACAGTCACATTCACTTTCATAGTCACAGTCATAGTAGCAGTCACTTTCACAGTCACATTCAGTCACAGTCACATTCAGTCACAGTCACAGTCACAGTCACAGTCACAGTCACAGTCACAGTCACAGTCAC